TCATTGTTCCATTTAGATCTTATTTTGATGTCAGTAGTCATATAATGATCTCACATTCTATTTTAAAAGGCTAGCCAATTGCCCAGTACTATTTATTGAAAATTCATCTTTTCCTCACTCATTTAAAATTACATCTTGTCAAATACTAAATTTCATAATTTATTTGGGTCTGCTTCTGGACTCATTGGTGTGTGAGTCCATTAACTGTCTTTTCTGTGACAGTATGGAATTATTTTGATTGTGTAAGATGTTACTATTTGCTGTGCCCACTTGCTGCCTGTCCATACTTAGATTCATTTATTTGACACCATTCCATATACTCTAAATTTCTTGGTTCTACATAATATTTGTGTCAATAACTGTTCATCATGGCTCTTGACTTTCCCACTTTAACAATTTACTAGAGTAGTCTCCATCTGAATTTTTTTCATTATTCTATTTTGTGTCAGTTCTACACAGGGTTTTTGTTTTTCCCAGCTGCTTTTATACTTTTTTTTCCTGCCAGGTGTACCGTAAAGATGTATGATGTGTATATATATATACATGGGCTTTATAACAGGAAATTTTACATGTTAAAATTAATATACAGGGTGATTTTAATCAGCATACACATAGCATAATAGAAGAGCTAAAGCAGAAAAAGTAATATTTCATGATCTGTGCTTCCTTGCATGCCTATTTGCTGCACATTGCTGGTGTTCTTGGTTGAGATAGTCTTATCAAAGTAATATTTATGGGATGTTTCATGACAGCCATATTCAGAGTCCTCTGTCTTGCCTTGTGTCTTTGCATGCCTTAAACAGGACCCCTTGTCATACACAAGTCATTCAATTTTATGTTCTAAAAATTATCAATTTTGGCACTTAACATGTGACTCTGGACTATACATCAGAATATTTGGCTGTTAGTTTGAAATTAAAATTTATGCATAATATAATTTATTTAACAGATTACTTTAAAGCCTTTTGTTCCTTTCACAAGTAATGGTGAAGTGAAAACATGATCCATATTTCCTTGTGTGAGTATTTTTATATGATTTCTATATGATGGTATCTTTGCAAAAGTTGGAAAAATATGAACAATTTTTATTAAAGTTCTTCTCAGTTGCCCATCTAGAAATGTTTTACTTAACCATTTTTATAGTTGCTTAATTAATTTTCTTCAAAAGACAAGGCTGTGGATTGTTTAACCTGTATTTTAGCACAATATCACAAAACAGGTTATCCCCAAATTTTCCTTGCACATCAGGGGCCTCAACAAGGTTATTATAAACTTGATTCAATTTCCTTTATTGAATTTGTAATAAGTCTAATTTTTAGTACATGGAAAGATCAAAATGTGTGGTGACCTATTTATAGAGTAAAATTTGGGGGGATGTGGATGTCATCATTCGGTTATTTTTTTTTAAATAAACTTTTTGTTTTTAGAACAGTTTTTGGTGTACACAAATTTACAAAGAGTTCTCATATATGCCCCACTCAGGGTCCCCTATATTAACATTTTATGTCAGTTACTATGGTACATTTGTCACATTCCCTCTCTACTTAACCCCTGGTAACCTCTAAATATAATTTTGGTCTCTGTGAATTTTCCTATTATGGGTACCTCATATAATTGGAACAGTATAATATTTGTCCTTTCGTGTGTGGTTTATTTTACTTAGCATATCTTCAAGGTTTATCAGTGTTGCATGTACCAGAACTTCATTGCTTTTTTTTTATGGCCAAATGATATTTCATTGTGTGTGTATGTATGTATCACACTTTATTTATGCATTCAGTTTGTTTATATGACACATTTTGTTTTTATACAACATATATTAGTATATATTTGTTTATATATACACTTTGTTTATAAAACACATTTTGTTTATTGTCTAGTGGATAGCCCTGCTCTACAACATGCATGTAATGTTTTGGGTTAATTGTTTCTACATTTTATTAAGCTAATTAAATTGCTCATAGTAAACTGTACAGTAGAGAATTATTTAACTCTTGCAATAAAAATCTTGAAATTGGCTCTGTAGTATTAAGATAAAACTTTGGTCTGCTGAAATTATGAGGCATCTATATTAATATCAGCACAGGCTATCCAAAAATTAACAAAATATTTTCCTATTTTAGTTGAGATACCTTTGGCATCAATGTCTATTTTCCTTGATTAAAATTGAACAGTAATACTAATTGGGTAAATAGTTTTATGTGATTTAAAATGTATTTTTCTTTTAGCTATAATTTTTAATATAGGTCAGTATTTTGTGTAGAATTGCTGTCTATTTCCTGAACATTTGCTCTTTACTTTCCTTTTCTCCTTATTCTCTTCATATTTTCTGAGGACGTTTAGTCAATTTCTTTAGGGAGGAATAAGTTCAAATCTATGTATCTATCACTCAAAGAATCATTTTCTTTCCCCCATTATACAATGTATTAAAAAATTATAAAAGGCATAGGTATTCATTGTAAAAAATTGAAGTAAAAAAGCATAGCACAATTAAAAGAAGAATATTCAGAACCACTCAGATTTTTGGTACATTTCTTTTTAGTATATGTATGTATACTGATAACATTTTTAGATGGCTCTTAAATTAACGAAAACATTTTCCTGTCTTTAAATATGAATACACACTAATCTCATTTGGACCGTGATTTTTTGGTATAACATCTCCCTCTTTTTTAGACATTAGAATTATTTTAAGTATTTTTAAAAATAAAATTTGAACATATCAGTACAGTTAACATACTTACAGAAACATCTTTGTGTACGTATCTCCCTGATAATTTCTTTTATTATAAACTTGTTAGAGACGCGATTATTTTTTGTTTGTTTTGCACCTCTTGATTAGCTGATGTGAAGACAGTTAAGTGTAAAGTAATTAGACCCACATTCAATAAGCAAATGTTGTCCATACATCCCTACATCCCTTCACACTTAATTTATTGTCTCACCTCTGACAGACATACTCATTCTGTGCCCTGCTGTCATCCACCATCCTTTACCTTCCTCTTTCAGTTCTATGTTATGAGATGCCTCTGTTCCTTTCACTTTCACTAGTTGATAACACTTTCAATGGTTGAAATATTATTTTAACCTTTTAATCTGTTTTCCTAGCACTTTCTACCAAATACAACTATTCCTTCTCATTTAAATACCTCTTAATCATATCTATTTGTTCTATTACAGACAGCAGTCGGTTTTATACAATATCCTTTTTCTTTTATAATAGTCTTTTTTTTTTTTTTTTTTTTTTTTTTTTTTTTGTGGTACGCGGGCCTCTCACTGTTGTGGCCTCTCCCGTTGCGGAGCACAGGCTCCGGACGCGCAGGCTCAGCAGCCACGGCTCACGGGCCCAGCCGCTGCGCGGCATGTGGGATCTTCCCGGACCGGGGCACGAACCCGTGTCCCCTGCATCGGCAGGCGGACTCTCAACCACTGCGCCACCAGGGAAGCCCTATAATAGTCTTTTGATAACAATAGTTCACATTAACTGAGCACATAGTAAGTGTTACACACTGTTCTTTCACTTTTTTTTTTTTTTTTTTTGTAGTACTCCGGCCTCTCACTGTTGTGGCCTCTCCCGTTGTGGAGCACAGGCTCCGGACGCGCAGGCTCAGCAGCCATGGCTCACGGGCCTAGCCACTCCACGGCATGTGGTATCTTCCCGGACCAGGGCACGAACCCATGTCCCCTGTATCGGCAGGCGGACTCTCAACCACTGCGCCACCAGGGAAGCCCTACACACTGTTCTATGTGTGCTTTGACTCAGTTTTAATGGTCAGGAAGTAAATTCTAATATTATCCCTTGTTTTCTTCAGCTGCCGTAATTGAGGTCAGTTAAACTCAGTAACCTTGCTCCCGAAATGTCACAGAGCAATTCAAGCAGTTCATCCCCAGAGTCTCTGCTCTGTAGGTTCTCTCTCATTATCTTTTTATCAATGATGCTCTAGTTGGAGGTAAATTGAGGTCCTTTTCAATGTCCAGGGGTAACTGTGCTCCTAGGAAGATCAGGAACTCTTTAAGATGTGCCCTTTTTTTTAAGTTTAAATGCTGGACCAGCAAAGTAGAGGCAATCATTAGAGTATATAGGATAGGTGTGTTAGGATTAACTGGGGTACCTTTCTAATAGAACACCTGGATATGACCCTTATCTCCACATCTGGTTTTCAAACACACAATTGAACCATACAGAAAAGACCTTTTAATAAAGGCCATTTCCTCCCAAGGTTGGTTCATTTTAGAGATAGCCAAACCTAGAATTGTTCTAATTGCTTCTACTTGATATAATAATCTCACCAACTCTGGTGTTAGTATCATTTTTATTACATTTCAAAGACAGGTTATCAAACCAAGAGAAGTTCAAAACTCATCCAAGCATGGCCAGACAGTAAATTGTAGACTCCCTTTTTGAACCCATGTCTTATGATGGAAGAGCCTAATCTCTTAATTGCCCCAGGATACTACAGTGTCATCTTTGGACTTTCTTAATTACCCTTGACCTCTCTGGTATTTCCTCTTGTGATGTCTCCATCCTAACAACCTTTATTATACACATGTTTTCGTGATTTAACCACACTCCATGGAAGAAGCATTTTAAAAAAAATTTTTATTGGAGTATAGTTGATTTACAATGTTGTGTTAGTTTCAGGTGTACAGCAAAGTGAATCAATTATACATATGCATATATCCACTCTTTTTTAGATTCTTTTTCCGTATAGGCCATTACAAGAGTATTGAGTAGAGTTCCCTGTGCTGTACAGTAGGTCCTTATTAGTTCTCTATTTTATATATAGTAGCGTGTATATGTCAATCCCAATCTCCCAATTTATCCCTCCCCCGCCACCCTGAAGAAGCACTTTAGAATGAGACTTGTTCCAAATTACTCAATTGATTTCCCAAGTAGAGATCTGCCTTTTGGTTCCTTTATCTGGCTACCAGGATAGAGAGATTCCTGGGAGCCAACCTGCTATCAAGTCAACTGTTTTACCCCAGATGTTTCTGTCCAGGTTCAACCTTGGAAATTCAGGCTCCTCAATCTTCAGGTCTTCATCCTCCATTTGACTTTCCATCTCGTCCACGGAGGATTGCTGAGTTAAGTCAGGTGAGCGATCATTCCATCTCATTATCTTTCATGTTGTTGGGACAAGGGCTGTCTTTCTGTCAGAGGGGGGAAGTTTTATTCCTTTAAACTACAGAATAATTTATAAACTATAATGCATAGTCCAATTGGTTGGTTTTAAAGAAAATCCATTAAAAACAGAGCTTTGCTGTGCCTAAACTGAATATCTGTCTGTGTTCCTATTGATTATTACCTACCATGGGCCTTGCAGATATGCTCTTCCCCACATCCTCTGATAAGTAAATTATAATTGGTGTACATATCATGTACATTGTACAGATAATCAGAGTGTGAATTGGAGAGAAAATAATTTTAACAAGATCAGAATGCTTTTTAAGTTACAGTTTGAATTTGAAGGCTCTGCTGTTTGTGGCATTTTACATTCCAAGGAAAGCTTTGAATTGTTTGGGATTCAGTTAACTCACATTTCTCAAAGGAAGAGAAGCATGGCTAACCTTCACACCTGTGAAAATTTCCCCATATTTGCTTGGGAACAGATGACCCGTATGCACTTATATATTTGTCTAAGGGATACATGTGGTTTCTCAGCAGTTAAACCTTCATTCAACTGAAGTGCAGTTAGCCTTCCCCAACAGGGAGGTTTTTTCTCAATAAGTTTTCTTTTTTAATAGGAAAGAAAACGGTCGTGCACAGAGGGAGAATTGATCACCGTCTGTTCTTCAAAGACACTTCTGTGGCAGTTGTTGGGGCTACTAGTGCTCACTGCCCTGACAGAGACCTGCTTCAACAGGGTAGGAGGAGGGTGGGCTTTGGGTGTCAGACCTGCATCTCCACTGTTAACTACAGCCCTTTTGAAAGTCAGGCTTTAGTCCTTTTCCAGGGACTCCTTTGGGATTGAGAAGCTTTCTTTCTATTTATTGGCCTTCAGCCTTGACTTGGCCTTGAAGTTTCTGAATTTCTAGCTCACAAGTTTTTTCAGGTTGAAGTTAAATATACTTAATTCACATACGTGTGAGTCATTTCAGTTGTAATGTGCGCAAGTCCTTAGACCAGGCACAGTTTCTTACCTGGCCACATGGCCCTAGTGAGAATAGCATCCCTGTGTCAGGGCTGAAACAGCGAAGCAAAGTGACTGATAGACCCAGATCGCTGGAGCCCAGATTCAGAAGCAACTAACATTTATTGGGTAATTCCTGTGTGTTAGACACTGTTCATGTATTAAAGCATTTAATACAGCAACCCTTTCCTTTAGGTTCTGTGAGTAGTCTTATCCAGATTTTACAGATGGGGTAATTACAGCTTACACAGTCTAGATGACCTGTCAAGGGTCACACAGCAAGTCATTTGCAAAGCAGGGATTTGTACCCAGGTGATCATACTGCAGGGTCTACACTCTTAGCCACTACACCAAGGCCCCTCATCGATTGCTGTTTCACTCTCCTTCCCCTGGCATGTGCAGTTATTCCTTCTTGCCCCCTTTCATTTATCTGAGTCTAATACTCTCTCTCTCTTTTTTTTTTAAATCATCCTTCTCACCTCCACCTTCTCCAGCCCTTCATATTCAGAGTTTAACCACCTGGCTGGGAAAGCTGGCAGGCTTATACAATAAATAAATCCTCATAAAATTCTCAGCAAAGCAGATGGGGGTGAGTGTGGGGTCATTTATCCTTCTTTTGGAATATAAATGGGGTATGGGGTGTAGGGATCGTGGTCTTTTGGCATCATTGTCTCCTGGGAGCTCGGGAGCATCAGTGGTTCAGCTAGAGTGGTGTGCTGGCTTTTTGGGGTCCATGTTGAGCCAGACAAGTGAGGGGCTTTGTGGAGTCACTGAAGAATGAGTTATGTGCCCCTTGGTGTCTTTCATTTGTCTCATTTTAAGACTTCTCCTTTTACCTTTAAAATGGTAGTTGTGTGTGGTGGGCTTACTTGTTGAAGGCTTCTGTTTTTAGACTCTAGCTTATTCTCTGTGCCTTACCTCCCTGCTTCTGCCTTTGAGGCTTTAACCCCAGGTGACTGAGCTAGTTTGGTAGCAGCTTGACTGTTAAGTAAATGAGTGTTCACAAAAGGAGGAATTTTGAACTGACCTACTAAGAGGGTGGGCAGGGCAATTTAGGGAGTCCTTTGTAGGTTTCCCCCCATTAATCTTTAGCCTTGTACCATATCACTAGTGAGCTCTCATTTCACAGTGCCTATGAGTTCGTCTGTCTAGGAAGTCACTTATTTTACCCTGGCCCCTAAGGAATGCCAAATATCAGGAACTGTAATCACTTACACTTACCCTGCTGTTGGATGCCTAGTGTCCCCTCACACCAAACTGTAACATAGCTTGAGGCAGAATCTGGGAAGTGCCTTTAGGTCCAAGGAGCAGGGTGGTAGGATGAAGACTCACTTGGCATTATTAGACTTTGCCATGGTTGACAACCTGCTGCTGCATCAGAAGAACTGGTGCATCTCAGAAGATGTTTGAGATTGAGTTCTTTGGGGCCACTGCTAACACCAGAGCTGTCCTGGGGTGGACAGTGCCGCTCCCGAGCCTCAAGGAAAGGGGTGTGTGATTAAGAGAGAGAATACAAATCCATATTCTATAGGGTATTAGAGCTGAATAGACTAATTGCCTGATTAGGCCCTATAAGTTTCTGTGTGTGAACACTGAGATCCGTGGGTTGGGTGTGGGTGGCTTGTCTGGCCCAGGATAGATTGAAAACTCAAGGAAACTGCATGAGCCCTTCTAGTACTTTTGCTTTTGGTATTTAAGGGATTTTAGAGTCTTGGCTTAAGAGGGAAGTAGGGAGTAAGGTGTGGGATAGTCAGCATTTCCTGTCATACAGGTTGATGCTATTAGGAGTTCTGTTTGAGAGTTATTAGGTAAGGGAGATAGGTAGGGCTGAGGGCCTGAGGGCTTGGGGCAAGAAGGGAAGAAGGGAAGGGATGGAAGATCCATCTGGAATCGGTTTCAAAGAAGAAAGACTGCATAGTGCTTTGAAGAAATCAAACATCAGTCCAAGAAGACATGTGATCACAGCAGCTATCTTCACATCACCCCATCTCCTTGGCAGGGCTCAGCCTAACCTCTGCCCCCTTAATGCCCATCCTGGTTCTGTGTGTTTTGGAGCCCAGCGATTGTTTATGCTCTGGGTAAGCTCAAGCACTGGGAGAGGGACCTCTTGTGGCTGTCATTTAGGCCACGAAAGCAGCAGGGAAGGGATGGTTTCCTGTGGAATGGGGATGTGGTGTCAAGCTGATGAGCAGCAGAGGAGCTATTTGGGGCAGCATGGAGGGAAGGATGCATATCCTGTAGGAATCAGGGGACACAGGATTTTGTCACCTATCAAGTGCCCTCAGTCGGGGATGGCTGCAGCTCTATTACACAACCCTATCAAGCAGGCACTGTAGTTATTAGCAGTGACTTTGAAAAAAATTATTCTTTTGCCTCTTCTCTCTCTCACTCCCAAGCTGCTCAATATGTTGAAAATGGAGTCCAGGGACCATCGTCTTTATATAGAAAGTTCCAACTTGAGATGCCTTTATTATTACATCCAAGAATCCTCTCCACTCTTTCCCTGGCTTCTCATACCTGTGGGATTGATGGGCCAGCCTGTGTCCTACCAGTGTTTCCTGAGTATTTATCACTGTTCAATTTGGGGGTTAATGGGAGAAGGATGGCGGAACTACGATGGATAATCAAGTGTGTTAAGATCTTAAAGATTTTCTGTGGATTTCGACGTGCCTCAAAGAACCTTCCTGTCCGGTAAGTACAGGATAATTGAGCAACATACATAACTACAGACATTAGATTGTAGGCCATCTGATTCAGTAATTTGACTTGAAGCACTTCCTAGTTTGCATGTTTTACACTTGAGGATAAGGTTAAGAGAAGTTAACCTATTGAGAAGTTTTAGTTGCTGCTGGAACTATGTTCACTTAATACAGGACGCCAGTATTCTTCAAAGATGAGAGTTCCTCTGTAGGACAATAGGAAGAACACGCAACATTTGTTCCCCAAGGAATAGTACACCATGGTAGACAAGGTTCTGGGTCCCCTGAGGGGTCTCCAATCATAGTATTGCTGAAATTCCAGCTGTCCTTTGGGATGGGATATCTTTGGCTTAGCTGTACTTTTTACTGGCTTCTGCTTATCAGGACCAGAAGGCTGTCCAGACAGATGCTGCTATGATGAACTCTTGGTGTTCATCTCAGGAACTCACTGCCCTTACAGCCTTTTAACTAAGTGCAGTAGTTCAGCATGTGCTCTAGAGTTAGGAGGTCTTAGATGAGACTCCAAAATAAAAGATTTAAGAAATCCCATACCTTATGTTAGGACCAGAGCACGTGTTCAAGGATGTAGTGAGATGGTTTTTTGTTTGTTTGTTTATTTATTTTTAACATCTTTATTGGAGTATAATTGCTTTACAATGGTGTGTTAGTTTCTGCTTTATAACAAAGTGAATCAGTTATACATATACGTATGTTCCCATATCTCTTCCCTCTCGCGTCTCCCTCCCTCCCACCCTCCCTATCCCACCTCTCTAGGTGGTCACAAAGCACCAAGCTGATCTCCCTGTGCTATGCGGCTGCTTCCCACTTAGCTATCTATTTTACGTTTGGTAGTGTATATATGTCCATGCCACTCTTACTGAGATGGTTTTTAACCAGAAGGATGGTTGCGGGTATTGACCTCAAGAATAATCTGGAGCAGGTTTGCGATGAAGAGAACAAAGATTACCCCTGCTTTCATCGGGAGGAGGAATGAGCCTGATGCCTTTTGTTTGTGGTATACTTAGCCCATAGAGCTTTGTGATGCCTACATTGATATAGGCAATCTTTGATCACTGCCAGAATGGCCAGTGCACTTTGCATTTATTACCCTGTATTGAGTTACTCATCCTTTGGATGAGTTGCTTTCGGTGCTTAGTTTCTGAGCTTCCTTTGCACTTCCTGGTTCACATCTCAAACGCATATTAAGAGCAGTCAAGAAAGGAAAGATTTTGTTTATTTCAACCTTTAAAAGTGACATACTGGCAGAGATGGGAATAAAACCAGCTTCTGAATCATCAGTTTCAGATTCCAGCACAAAAAAATTGGCATTTTTAAGTGAAAAGCATATGGTTTTATACATGTGGGAACTACAAACTGGGCATGCTTTCCACAAGAAGGGGGGAATAAATACTTTTTAATGTGTCCTTGGAGTATGGGTGGGACTCATGAATATACTTCCCTGCTTGGCTGTTTTATTGATTTGAAGGAGTCCCATGCAGCGGCACAAAAGATCTCTCATCGTTGGAAGTTAAGGTTAGTTCACCTTTGCTGCTCCCTCTCTACGTTGCACTGGAGTGTGTGAAGTAGAAATGTAGGTCTCATAGTTTGTCCTAGACCCCATCCATACAAAGGCCCTTTTCTAGAACCTCTTAGCATATTGTGAAGTGCCTCGCATCATGCACCCCCAGTACTAAGAAGAAATCAGAATTGCCTAGTGACAGCATTGGTCAAAGTGTCCCTGAAAGTGAACTAGGAAGCAAAACTTCAGATGGGAGTTTGCCATCGCTGTCAGTAAATATGCAACAATCTTTTAGGTGGTGAAATTCTTTAATGCCTAGTTAGTAATAGTGCCTATCTTCAACAAACTTGCTATCTGAAAATATTCTAATATACTTTTGTCACTCATAGTGTCGCCTTGCTCTTTGGGAATCATGTTTGCAATAGATTCTCCACTCATTGGCTTTAAGGGCAGTTTTCTTGTAAGTGGACAAGAAGCTGTTGTATACTGCTAGCACTTTTTGTCCTAGCCACCTGGGGTTCTGGGACTTTGTGGTCCTCAAATATCCCCTGATGGGCTGGGTTGTATTTTCCCAGATAATCTCTGTTAATACTATTAGTAGACATTACTATTCCTTTCAAGCATTCTACTGCCTAGGACATGTTACTTGAATTTTCATTAAGTTAAGGTTATTCGGACAATTCCCTACATTGGTAGTGCAGGTGAGCTTTCTTAGTTTTTCAAGAAATGCCTTTAAAATATTTGGTTCTTTGAAAGCATGTAAGTGCCTAACTCCTCTTCTAGTTGTCTGTCTCCTAAGTATGCTCCTGTAGATGCTTTGTTGCATTGTAGACAGCCACTGCTGGAGAATTGGCTGTCCTGAGACAGGATAAACGTCTTAGACATGGTGCTACTCTATGTTTCTAGTTTAATTGATTCTTCAGATGGAATGTAACACCCAATTGGCAGCTTAAGCTCAGCAAATCTTCCTATGATATGGTTGTAATGAACTTCCAATTTTGGTTTCTCTATGGACAAATTAGCAAGAAAATCAAATGTAATTGCATGACTTATCCTTTGGAAATCTCTGGTGCAGAGCACTGTGTTCCAAAGTTTAGACTTAGTAAAAATTTTAGTAAAATTTTGCTGCTTATTGAAAAACTCATTGTATCTTAAGGTCCTTTATTTCTAGTAACTATATATTCATGCTTACGTGTATGATAAACCGGTCACTGTTTTTTAGGTGCAATATTAATTTACCTGGGTTGCTTCCATCTCGTGCAAACAGGCAATGCAATCAAGTTGTCCAATAAAGTCACAGGTTTGGCATCCGTCTTTGAAATATTGAGCCACTAATTGGAATTTGTAGTGCAATAATGTAGCCATTTGCTATTGGGTCAGTTTTCTATGGGAAGTTTAGTCTTGTCATCACTTTATGGCAGATAATACTGCAAACCTGGATAGCTATACTTTTCCATATTTGTGTCTTTACATTAAGTAGCGTTACTACTGTCATATACCTAAAACGTCAGTCACCTACTTTTTGTTTACGCTGCCAGAGGCTTGCAATGGAGTTCCCCAATTGTCCACTTTGCTTTGCCTCTGCAGAGGTGACATTACAAGTCAACGTCTCAGGGTCTCTTCCAGTTGCATTTCATTAGGATCCCTTGATTCTATACCAATACAATAAGGCTTTTTAAAAAAGAAAGTTTGCTAGGTATCCTTAGGTGCCTATTTACTTTTTTAGGGAGTCAATTTTGTCTGAATATTTGGCAATGTTAAGTAGGATCCCACTGCCAATCATATCTTTCACGAGCCTTGACGAATTTGGTGCTGTGTTTTTGTGTTTTGGACAGAAGACCGATTACCGTGGCTCTTACGTATATTTCATTTGTCTTTACAGTGTTGTCTTTTATAAGCTATTAGATGAATTTTAAGAAAATTACTCTTAGTAATGCACTGCTTGCAGCGTTGGAAACCAGCAAGTCAGTAATAAAGGCATTTGGTGGTGAAACATTTTTAATTAAATTGTATGTCTGCTCTTGATCCTTTATGCTGAACGTTTCATGAACGTATTTGATTTATCACCATTATCATTTGCAAATAATTTTACAATACCACTCTCTAATGCACTGATAGCATGTGTTTATCCGGGCATACTTCTAAATGTTAGATTTGGTACTGTCTCAGAGTTAGGTGATGCTCTGTACTAAATTTACCCACACTGCTATTTAACAGGTGACGAGCTTGCATTCTAAGTTTGGTTCTTGACAGGCCAAAAAGTATACGTAGGTAAATTTAGTCGTAAATATATGCGTCATTCTCTGGGCTCCAATATTTTACGGCCATTGTTTCATTATTAATTCCACTGCCTATTTTTTCCCCCGGTACGCAGGCCTCTCACTGTTGTGGCCTTTCCCGTTGCGGAGCACAGGCTCCGGACGCGCAGGCCCAGCGGCCATGGCTCACGGGCCCAGCCGCTCCGCGGCATGTGGGATCCTCCCGGACGGGGGCACGAACCCGTGTCCTCTGCATCAGCAGGCGGACTCTTAACCACTGTGCCAGCAGGGAAGCCTCATTCTACTGCCTATTAAATCTGCGGTAATAGTGTGGCGTTTTCATAGGTTGTAATGGGTGTTTTCACATTTGTAACTGAACTGTAGAGAAGTTGGAGCTAATCCGAACTTGTAGCCAATTGGTACATGCATCATTACCCTTTGGGAATTTAGACGGTTTGATGTTCATGTGAATGTAGGAAATTAGTGTCATCAGCAGTGCAGTTTAATACCTCTGCTACATAATCAAATATTGAGATTGGTAGGAATTTGGCGCCATCTTGTGGATACAAGATAACCACTATGTTAGCTTTTATGTTGTACCTCATTTGTCCACAGGGCAGCACCCTTTGTGAAATCACTACAGATCAGAAATGCCTCCCCAATTTTCCAGTAACATTACAATCTGGTTCCTCCATTTTGAGTCACTAATATATTTCAGGGTTGTTGTTGAGTGTCTTTTATTGTTAGACATTTAAATACTTTTAAAGAGTAACAGGGTTTTAAGCCCCAATAATTGTGTTTTTTGGTTGTTAAAGGTATTAATAAGGCTATTTACTGGTACATTTAGTGTCTTATTCAACCATTTACAGTATACCTCCAAAGTTTGTGCATTTCTGAGAACAATTAGCAATGACTGTGGAAATTTTCCACAGCTTGTATTAGTGGTATTGGTTGCATATTTCCCTTCAGGGATTATTACTCTAAATGTAAATGCTCCAGTGATGGTAAGACAACAATAATGTTGTAAGGTTTTTGAGGACATTGAGATTGTCAACTATTGTAGGTTATATATCGCATGTATATCATCTATAGTCTGATTTTCTTGTTTATAGATCACTTTGATCATGCGATATGTAAAGTAGTAGTCTTGCCAATTACTGTAGATCCTCCATAACATGATAGGAATGAGGTTTTCACTCATAAAAACTCCAAGAAAAGTTCATCCAGATTTTGCATAGTTTAGTGGACAAAGAGGAAACATAACGGAAACTGTTACTCAATTTACCCATAATATGATGCCTTTTGGATATGTTAGGTTCATCATTCTCACAGAAATTTGGTCTCTTCAGTCTCTTCTAGAAATGGAAGTTTGTGAATGAAAACTTCCATTAACATCACAGTCTAATAGTACTAAAGAGCAAAAAATAATTTAGTGTTGATAAAAGCTGTTTATTTGCTTGTAATATCATTATCTCCACATTCACTGAGGTGTGTGACCTTTTTAAAGTAGGTCAGTGTAATTATTACGTATATTACAGTGGCTGTTTTTCTTTAATTTTAGGTGTCTTGCCTCCAAATTTATGGAGGGTTTTGTGCCCCTTGTCAGGAAATATTTCAAGGTTTGTTGCCACCTTGTGGACACGAAGTTTTTTCCCCCCCAAGACTCTAGTACCGCATTAGTCCACAACGTGTCGCCCTTTTGAGTGATATTGCATTGCTTGCATCACAAGTATGGTTCTGATTGAGAGTACAGTAAACTGATGACTGTGCAGTGAGCCAAAAGTATATTTGAGGAATTTCAAGGGTGTTTGTTTCATTTCTTGATTTTGCCCAGTTACAGGCTCTGGCTTATAAAATTTGACGTTGGTGTTTGTGTGCAGTATAGTGTAGTGCTGATGTATAATTGGTTTAATTCGATATTCCTACTTATTAGCTTTGTCCTGGTTTATCACTAGCAATTTAAAAATTTCACTAGCAAATTAAAAACACATGGATGATGTCTTTATATCAGATAACAAGGACCGTGTTTCTCCTAAAACCAGTTGACCTCACTGGAGTACATTACTCCATATATAAAAAAATGCCTGAGGGAGTGTATTGTTAAAGACTTACTGTGCTATTCCGAAATTTCCAAGTGTTGTTATTTGATATACTTTTATTGTACTATTGTTGCAGTAACTTCAGCTGACTTTTGTCAAACATAACATTGCCCTAGTAAGCACATGCTCTGTGATAATCTGATATGGATACCAAAAAGCATAGTATGTGTTAATGTATTATTGGTTATAATTGTGCTTTGTTTTCCAAATTATTTTAAAAATTATCTAGCATGCATATGTATAATGCAGTGATGAGTGGTGGTTTAATTTTGCTGGTGTTCTCTAGTAACCACTATTGTTTGTTAAACAGTACTTTGAGCTGCGTCTCACTTGGTTTCAAAAATTTTTGCTTTTTTTGTCATGGCAAAACTTGTTTAGGGGGTGTGCTTTAGTATTGTCACCTAGGTTGCTCAGTACGTTATAGTGCTTTACATGGAGAACTTTTCATTGTTTACTTTTAGTTCAGTGTTGCTATTTAGATTGGGGTATTCTAATATTGTTAACCATTTAGCCTTTCTTTGCTCCTCCAGTTGACTGCCTGTAATTTCGTTAATTAGCAAAACGTTAGGTATTAGGATCTGCCCACCATGGACTGAGTGGTTCTGGAGGGCCTGTTACTTGCTGTATTGTAAAACCATAGATCCGTGATTTGTTATACTGCCAATGTTAATTTAATCATGTGATCAACAAATGTGTCCCAGAATTTTATCATGGTGAGTGGTCATTGTTTCTGACTGCTGTCGTTACTCGTTGAATAGCATTAATCTAAACCATAGTCACCAAGGTGATTGAAATATATTTGGTAGGTCTTAGGCTTTTTCCACCATTAAGAAAATTTTGTCTTTTTTACTGCCTTGTATTGGTACTGAATTGTCATATTTTCCTACCTGTTACTAAAAATAAATGTCTAGTTGTTGGCTCAGCAATCCCTTTATATTATAGATGTGGTCCTGCTAAGATTTTTCACCACCTGTGGTCAAATGTACTTTTCTGTTTTGGAGGTTCTTCAGTGACTGTTCTTTACAGTCTTGCCTCTGCTACTTCTCTGCTAGATCATTATTTAGCCCAGCTGTATTACGGGATCTTTTGACTTCATGGTATCACTGGAAAGCTTACATGTCCTAGTGGATGAAAATATTTCAATGGTAAGACTAATCTCCATGTGGTATTTTATTTTATCTCTAATTTTTGCTTATATGTTTATGGGTTATGCCTACACAGATTGGGCAGTTTGATGCTGGCATAATGTTGAAGGACATTTCAGGTTTTGTGTGGACATATTTTCATTCCCTTAGGTATCTACTTAGCATTGCAGTTGCTTTGTAATATGGCAACTCTACATTTAATGTTTTGAGTAATTGACAAACTGCTAAAGTAACTGCAGCATTTTACATTCTCACCAAGAAATTTATGAGGATGTTAATTTAACTCCATTCTCACTTATTTTCTATCTTTTATAATAGCCATCCCAGTAGATGTTAAGTACAGTTGACTCTTGAACAACACAGGGGGTTGGGGGCGCTCATCCTCCTCACAGTGGAAAATCCACATGTAACTTATAGTCAGCCTTCCATACATGCAGTTCCTCCTATCCGAGGTTCCGCATATGCACAGATTGTGTAGTACTGCAGTTTTTACTATTGAAAAAAAATCCACCTGTAAGTGGACCCACACAGTTCCAGCCCATGTTGTTCAAGGGTCATTTGTTTCTTGTATCTCGTGTTTTTGCCTAGTGTTTCTGTGTTGAACAACTTTTCATATGCTGATTGACCATTCGTATTTCTTTGGAGAAATGTCTATTCAAATCCTACGTTCACTGGAATTGAGTTATATATTGTTTTATATGTTGTTTAGATTTTCATTCAAAATACTAATTCTTTTTGTGATTTCTTCTTTGACCCATTGGTTATTTAGGAGTTTGTTGTTTAATATGCACATATTTGTGAATTTCCCAAATTTCATTCTGTTATTGATTTATAATTTCATCATGGGAGAACATACTTTATATGATTTCAATTCTCTTAAGTTTGTTGAGACTTGTTTCATTTCTTAGCATCTAGTCTATTCTGGAGAATGTTCCATGTGCATTTGAGAATAATGTGTATTCTGCAGTTGTGTGGATGTTTTGTAGATGTTTAATAGATCAAGTGGTTATTTTTTTGTTTGTTTTTTTTTGTTTGTTTTTTTCTGTTTGTTTTTTTCAAGTGGTTATTTATAGAGTTGTTCAGGTCTTCTCTTTTCTTGTAGATCTTCTACCTAGTTGTTCTGTTACTGAAACTTATTGCTGAATTATCTATTTCTTTTTCTGTTTCTACCATTTTCTCCTTATTTTTGGTGCTATGTTGTTAGGTACATATATGTTTATAATTATACTTTCCTGATGGATTGATCCTTTGATTGTAATAAAATATCCTTATTCATGTCTAGTAATAATCTTTTCTTAATTGTGTATTTTATTATTAGTATAGCTAACTCCAGCTCTCTTTTGGTTAGTGTTTTTGCCTGGTACGTCTTTTTCTATCCTTTTACTTGTAAACTTTTTGTGTCTTTGAATTTAAACTGTGTCTTGTAGATAAGATATAGGTAGATTATATTTTTTAAATCTGTTGTTCCAAGCTCTGTCTTTTGATTGCATTACTTAAAAATTTTTTTATCTTTAGTGTAATTACTGACAAGGTAGGATTGATGTCTGCTTTGCTACTTGTTTTCCATGAGTCTTACGTCTTTTTGTTCCTCTGTTCCTGTATTACTACCTTCTTTTATTTTTGTTAAATATTTTAAGCATTTTCTTGTACCACTTAAATTCCCTTTTTTCTTTTATTATATTTATTGAGTTGTTTTTCTCATGGTTGCTCTGATCTTTCAGTTAACAACTTACCTTAAAAGAATTGATTTCAGATTAATACCAACTTAATTTCAATTGTGTATACAATTTGTTCTGCTATGTCTTTGTTCCCTGTCTTTTCCTTTGTGATGTTATTATTATGTAAATTACATCTGTACATGACGTAAGCATATCAACACAATTTTCTAGTTATTCCTTTATGCTATTAAGTCAGAAATGGGAAGAAAAGTGTTACAAATAAATACAGATTTTTTTTGTCTGTTATATTTATTTATGGAGTTATCTTATTGGTGCTCTTTATTTTTCATGTGCATGTGAGTTACTGTCTAATGTCTTTTCATTTCTGCCTGAAGGACTTGATTTTGTATCTCTTGTAGATGGCATGTCTACTAGCACTGAATTATTTTAATTTTTGTTTATCTAGTAATGCTGTAATTCTTAATTTATCAAGGATAGTTTTGCTGAACATAGAATTCTCAGTTTACATTCTTTTTCCTTCAGCAGTTTGAATATATCACCCACTGTTTTTTGGTCTCCATGGTTTATGATGAGAAGTCAGCTATAACTTACAGAGGAGCCATTGTACATGATGAGTTGTTTTTCTCTTGCTGCATTCAAGATTCTGAAGTTAGTCATGAGTCTAGATTTGAGTGTCTTTGACTTTATCCTTTTGGGCATACATTGATCTTGCATGTATAGATTAATATTTTTTTCATCAAATTTGGCAAGTTTTAGGCTATTATTTATTCACATATTCTTTGTCCCCTATTCTTCTCCTTTGTTTGACTCTCATTTTGTTTGTTATCTTTACTGAAAGTAATTCTTTTTCATTACCTTATAATAAGAGAACATAAAGCTATGTATAGTATTGGCTTTATGTTATAGTGTTCCTTTTTTACTTGCTAAATTGGCTTGATTGTAATTTACATTTCTTTTTTGACCCAATTGTTATTTACTGTGATGCTTCATGTTGAGGTTTTCTGGTTTGAGCACATATTTCATATATATATGAAGTATATAATATATGTTGAAATATATACATATAATGAAATGTATATATGGTTTTATTGCATTGTGATTAGACAATGTGACTGCTATATGTTCCTACATGTCTAGTTTTAAATAACAACTTTATCTAGTAGGGAAAGACCCTCATTCGTTTTTTAAAAAATTTCTTTATTTTCATATACTTGTTCTTCCAGGAGCCCATTAGAAAGAGCATGTCAAGTTCTCACCACAAATACCATTGGAGTTACAGTTGGAATGGCATTGAATTATAGAATAATTTTTGGAGAGCTGTCATCTTTATAATTTTCTCATACATGAAGGTGGTATGTTTCTCCTTTTATTCAGGTCTTCATTATTGTGTGCTTGTCTTTTCCACTTATTATTTTCAATATTTTTTTCCTAGTTTCTGGAAGAAGTAGGCAGATATCTTAGGAACTGAGATTCTGGTGGGAAAAGTACAGAAGGTGTCATCTGCGTAGACTAGACTCTATTAGTATAAAAGGTCATATAAAATGTATTTTTGAATATGACGTTACCATTTCTTCCACAAGGCCCTAGGAGTCTGCATTATTTATAATGTTCCATATCCCTGTTCTGCATAAGTATAGAGGTGGTTGCTAATATTAGGGGAAATTATGTAGTAAGCCATTTGTTTTTAATACTGTCAGCATCCCTTTGACCTTCCCCTTTCCCTTTTCGAAGTGCTTCTTCCATCCTGCAAGCTTTTGGGGACTCTGCTTATTGTTTATAGCATATGTACCCATTGAAGACCTTCAAACCCTCCAATATAGAGCTAACTGGTTGTGTTTTCACTACAAAAGTTTACAGTTTCGGAGAGGTAAGAGTCCTGTTCCACTTGATGGTTTTGTTTCAATTTTAAGAGCAACTCTCTGAGAGGGAGCTAAAGGAGAACATCCAGGATACAGAGAGATATTTGAACTTAGATCCTATGAGAAGCATTATAGGAATTAGAGCTGTTTAGATTGTGGGAGACAACTCCAAAATGGAGAGCTTGCTGGTCTGAAGTCAGGGATAGTTGGTTTTGTTGTGTAAAGGCAGTTCTAGTTAATGGAGTAACAGATTCAAGAATGTCCAAAGATGAAAATACTCTTGGAAATAATAACCTAGTGGAATTTGAGAATCTCCCTGCATGGAGTGAAAGTTGGATTACATGCACTTTAAGGTCACATTTATAACTGAGATTCTGTCTCAGTCAGGGCAGATGAAACTGATTTTTATTGTGTGCCTACTTCACATGTTCCCATTTAATCATCACAACCCTCTGAGGCATCCCAGAGAGGTAGAATAAGTTTGCTCAGGTAACTAATCTCATTAATGGCAGAGCATACTTCTTTTACCTCTCCCCTCCTATATATCTTAATTTGCAATAGTAATTCCTTACATTTGTATCGCAGTTTATCATTTAGAAGCCTTTCAGAAACATGGTTTTATTTGACCCTTATAAAAATCTGGTGAAGTTGGAAGAACCGATTCCACTTGTCTATTTTATAGGTGAGGAACATATATTTCTCTGGGGTAAAAGGGATCTGAGAGACTATTCAATACAATGTCCATATTTTGCAGTTGAAGAAACAGTACCAGAATTAAAAATCAGGATATTTTGTAGGCATTCTTTGATTTGTGTTGGATGGAGGGGAAGGTGAGACTAGATGATTTCATGAGGTACAGAAGGTTGTATTGTTTTTATCCATCCTATAGTATACACTGGATTGGTGCGAGCTCGCCATATTAGATTAAGTGGCATTTTAACAAACTGATCAAAGGCACTAAAGGTTTAAGGAAGAAACGTAAGGCTTCAGGTAGCAGGTTGTGGAAGATATTTGGTCATGAGGTTCTACTTGGTGGCCTTTAAAGCATTTAAAGTATTTCCTGCTCCAGGTTCAAGGGTCACCAGGGAATCAGGCCACCGGAAAATGAGTTATGTTGTACAATCAGTCTGCTAATGGACAGGAATGAGATGAAGCCTCAACAGTTGTCCACAACTCTGGGAGCCACCATTCACTGTGACATGGGCTCAGAGTGATGGCTCTTTTGATTATAGCATAGGTTATAGATTTAGAACCTCAAGGATAGAAGGACCTTAAAAAAAAAAAATCTCATATCTAAAACAGCTTATTTTAATTTGACCCTAATTCAAGTCCTTTTATAATATACCCAACAAATGGTCTTTTTGCCTCCAAGTAAGTGTACTTAGTGATAGGGAACTCCTCCCTGAGTTAACTTATCTCTTCTTTCAAGAGCTCTATGTAATACTGAGCTGAAATATATTTTTCTATAGCTTCAACTCATTCATCATATTTGTATTATGCCTCAGTTCAAGAATATTGCTTTATTGTTCTCTCTCCTGCATCTTCAGCTTCTCTCTGCTGCCTTTTGTGCTGCCAGGCACAGTGCTTGGTGATGGGGATATGGAGATGAATTAGACACGATTCCTGCCCTCAAAGAGTTCTCAGTCTAGTGAGAGAGTTCGACATGTACACAGATACTTACAACAGTATGGTATGCTCTACAATGGAGGTATGTACAAGATACTATGGGGTTCAGAAGAGAAATCATTTGACTGAGTCTGGAGATGCAGAGGTTGGAGGAACTGATGCTTCAGTTGATTCTTTAAAAAAGTAAAGGTTGACTAGGCAGAAAACAGAGGGAAGTACCTTCTAAGCAAAGGTATGGGGATTAGAAATAGAATGATGAATTGGGAAACTACAAGTAGTTCATGAAATTAGATTGGAAATATGCCATGAAATTTGGATTTCATTTTGAGTGTTTTAAGGAGATGCTTTTGATGGTCACTCTGGTAGTATGGAAGATTTTCAAATCTGGACAGGGAGATCAGTTAGAAGGATACTGTAGTAGTTAAGATGATATGTGATCTAAGGCTAGAAGGAGTGGGAGTGAAGAAGAGGGGATAACCTCTCAAATAAGGGTTTATACAAAATACAGATATAATTAGAACATGGGAAAATTTAGGCTTTCAGGCTTCGGCAAGTGTGTATCCCCCATCCCCACCCCTGGCCTTCATGAAAGATCCTCACGTGTTCTTTAGATGGGTGAACATCTAAAGATGTTCCTTCCAGACTAGGGCTTTGCTGCACAGATTTTGCAAGTTTCTTTGGTTTGGGGGGCAGCCACATATGAAATTTTGACTCTTGGGAAGACATCTGAACAGCTGCAGACTTCTCATAGTATTACTAAGTTCCTGGTCCTTCTCATCAATAGCAGGGCTAATCTCATTGTCATATATCTCTCAAAATATTTTTTACCAAAAATGGAGGCTTTTATATTTAAAACCCACTCAGGGAAGAAATGGCCTTAGTTATTGTCTCAATTGCTTTATTTTGCTTAGGGATTTTTAAATGTTTATGGTTATATCTCTTGGTAAAAAAATACATTCAATAATTAAAAATCTAAATATATCCAGTGTTTATTTTCTCTTTTCTCAAAGCAATATAAACAGAATATTTGGGAAATTCTCCCCTTAAGGCTCAGAGTGGTGACCCTGGGGATTCAGAGAATGGCTTTCTGTGACTGGAATGATTAATAGGAGATTATGTTTAAGTAGACCTTATGTATTTTCAGTGGACCTTATGTCACTAGCCATCCTGGAGGGCAGTAGGGGGAAGAAGGTTTGGGACAGGAAGCCCCGAGCAGGACAGCAAAGCAGTACAGTGACAGTTTGGGTCTTGGACTCAAATCGAGTCTCACACTTACCAATGTGGTTTTGAGCATGGTTTTTCACCTCTCTGGTACTTCTTATGTAAAATAGAATTAATAATATCTTTTTGCAATGATGAGTGAGGGTGGGAATGTAAGTATTTAATGGGATTATTTCTGTAAACTGCTTGGAACTGGTGTGGAATATGCTAAATGCTATATGAACTGTAGTTGCTGCAGATAATGATGTTGACCTTGACGAGGATTAAAAGAAGATAGTTAACTAGAGGTACTTATATTTTATATTGTCAATAAGGATGTTGGGGTTTGCAAAAGAAAGTAAAACTAACTGACCTCAAGGTTTTCAATGGCATGCTAGTGTGAAGTCACTTCTCTGCCTTTTTTTTTCCCTCTGCCAAATAGGTTGGGAAAACAGATGACTTTTGTCCATGCCCTGATCACTAATCTATTGCATTTGCTCTTATTTCCAAATATAAAGTCGTTGAAAATTTGTACAGTACCCAAACTGAATAAAAGTATCCTAAAAAATGTAGTAAAATGCTTTGGAATTGGTCAAAACTGGATTTGAAACCTGGCTCAACTACTTAATAACTGTGTGATCTAAGGCATGTTACTAAACCTCATTGAACCTCAATTTCTTCATCTATTATAATAATTAATTTGCAGGGTTTTCATGAGGATATTGTAAAGTGTATGTTATAAGCATGCTATAAATTGCAGGTATCATTGTTAGTTCTTGGGACATTCACCGCGTGACAGAAACAACAGCAGGCCCTGGTGGCTGGGAGGACTTCATGGATCCAACAGCAACCTGAAGAAATCCTACTCGGATGGATATAATACAACCTGCTAAGTGTCCTAGCACTTATCAGGTTGTATTATCATTGTCCGTGTCTATGGCTCTCGTCTACCAGACTCTAAATTCCTAACGGGCAAGGACAGTGCCTTATTCATCTTTGTATTCACAGTGCCTAATCCGGTGCACATTGTAGGCCTCATTAAATGTTTGTTGAATGAAAAAATGAATCATCAACAGACATTAATTGGGCGCCTGCTCTGTGATCTCCATGGGCTCAGCTTGTCCCCGCCAGTTGCCTACAACGTCCAAGCTGTCTTCAGTATGCTTTCTCCTGAAGCTTACTCCTATCTTCTAATTCTTTTGCCAAGGACTTTTCTGTGTAGTGCAAAAATAGCAAATATACTTCATCTCAAGTACCATCTCCAACTGATTGATAGTACCTGTCTTATGTTTTATAAAAAGGATTCTGAAGCCAGATCTCAGCTCAGTATGAAAGAGGATTATAACTAATTAGTGATGTTTGCTGGGGGTGGGGGAAGGGGAGTAGCAGCACAAGTGCCACATATATGTCATATTTAATATTGTATTTTCCATGAAATACTCTGTTTCTATGCCTGTATTTTAGTCTTGGCTACTTGCAGATGTTGCATTGTTGCTGCTGCCACTACTACACTTGCTGCCAGTTGCTCCTTGGGTAGGACCAGAGTGATCATTGATCAGAAACTTCATCCTCACAGTCTGGGGTTTGCTCCTGTGGCTGGTATTCACAGTTTTCCCCTTTCAACTATACCTCAGCTATCCCCTTACCTACATTAACAGGTAGGCCTCCAGATTATCTTCACCACTCAACAGGCTCATACTTCCTTTTTCTTATTTAGTGTGATAAATCATCATTGCTTCATGAGAAGCCTTCTTTCTGTTAGAAGATGTGACAACTAGAATACAAGTTAACCAATTCCATCAGGGCCCTACAGTGAGTCATAAAAGCTCCCTTTTAATGTAGGAGAAAATTGAGCATGCTCACAGACTACAGGGCAGGGAAAAGGGAGGCATTGTACATGTGGGAGAGAGATGATAACTTTTGGCTCTTAGAACACGGGTGGAGGGTTAGCCTTAGATGAAAGGAGTTACCTCTTCACTGGGGCATAGTGACAAGAATAAGAGTTAGGAAGAGTACCTGATAAGGGTGTTGAAGATTTGTAGTTGGAGAGGTGGATGATAGAGAGGAAGCTGACCAGGGACAGGATTATGGAGACAAGAGTCTAAGGAATATCCAGGCCAAAAGGCTGGATTGGAGAGCTTATGACATATCAAAGTGAACAACTAGTTTGAAACTTGATAATAGATTCAGGAAAATATAAAGTGGTCTTGGACCATTGTTACAAGTAACATTTGGTTGCCTGGAACTGATCTTGATTGATTGAGGGATGGACAGCTAGCAAGAGAGGAGTTATGCAGAAATGGATTTGAGGATCCAGACTGTATATGGAAGGAAGCTCAGAGTCTGTAAAAAAAAAAGAGGCCTTAGTGCAATCAAGATGGGTGCTGAGTAGTTGGAAAACTAGAATGATAGGACCTGTATCAGAGGCTGAACTTTGGAATGTTAAAATTTTAAAATTGGAGTGATCAAGATACCTGTGATGGTAGGATGTCAGATGGTTGTTTACCTGGATACTGAAGTGACCCAGGATTATAGCAAAAGCTGGGCTAGGAATGAACACTGTAGGCTAGATAAAATAGGCTTCAGTGACTGAGGAATGATCTGGAGGTTGGCACATGACAGTTGTGCAGATGCAAGAGAAGAGAGGTTGTAGTGGGATGGTAGTATGAGCCTCAGAAGAGTGGTGGGGATTACTAGAAGATGCAAAAACTGTGGTTTGCCCATTGCACTGAGGTTTTGGCTGGCAGAATGCACATCTAAAATGATCCCCTCCTTTATTAAGTGCTTGTTCTATATCTGACACTTCGCTGTGTGCCATCTGTTTATCTCTTTTGGATCTGTCAACATTTCATGTGTGAAAATGAGCAGCAATCCCAGGCAAGGATAGCTAGGCTGCTGGCCCTTAACACTGGTGGAATCCTGTGGCCATCTCCTAACTCTTTGAAAGAGCAGCAAGGCTGGTCATCTGGAAGTATGATAAAAAGATTTGTTTAGGATTAAAATTTTCCCTTGACCTTGATGTAACTTCATTACATGGTACAGGCTTTTGTTGGCTGTGTTCCATAATGTGCTTTGGCTTCTGAGCCTCTGAGTTGAGGAGTGAACTAGAACTGCCCTTTGAAAAAGACAGGCACAGTACTTGAAAAACACTCGTGTTGATTAGAACAAGACACAGTCCTATTATCTAATTGAACTTTTAAGATAAAGAGTAGACAAAAGAAAGCCCACATCAGTGGGTGAATAACAAAACCACTTTGTAAAAGCCATTTAGCTTCAGGATGCATCCAGTCTGGTGGCCATATTGTAGATGTTTCCTGTGCTGTTGGGAAGGATGGCTGGAAATTGATGCAAAGAGATGGCCCTTAGGACTTGGAAGGTAAAGTTTAGGAAGAGAGTCTCTCTGAACCCTCTGAAATTGCATGCAGTCATTTTTCTTTTGTTATAGTCTTCAAATGAGCCAATATTCCAATAAAGGTTTAGAGCCACTGTGTTAGAGTGACCAGACCCTCAGATAGCCCATCCCTTCCCATGGGGGCTGCTCTATATTTATTCCTCAGGAGGAGCTGGTAGAAGACTTCATGAAGGAGAAGAAAAGGAAAAGATCAGAGGATGACTACAGCCTCTCTTCATCCCAGCTTTGCAAAGCATGACTCAATAGATAGATCACTCTTTTGAAGACTCTCCAGACCACAGGTTGCTCTTTTCAATTGCATGCTTAGCCCTCTTGGCTCCTTTCAGAAGTTGTACTCTATGTATGTATATATGAACTATCACTTCGCATAAAGAGGACACCATGTAGTCAAAAATTGCCAGATCCCCAATGCTGGAATATAGGCCACCAGAGATGAGTTTGAGTTTCAGCAACGTAAGACCCCAACTTCATGGAAGGAAGGTAGTCAATTGACTTGAAAATAACCCCAATCCCTGTATTCATATTCTTTTTCCTTCAGTCCTATGGCTAAGATATCACTGATTAAAGCAAACAAAAGCCATGACTTTCTCCTTCCACTGGCACTTCTCTATCCCACGTATATGCCACTGTGAGTCACTGTCTTTCATTAGCACTTCTTTCCATCTCTTAAAACCCAAGGAGGTATGAATACTAAGGTTGGGGTTGAATTTGTCATAATTACTCTGCAGTTGGAGAATACTCAATGTTAATCACCCTGAAACCAACTCCCACCTTATCTCCTGGGGCAGCCACAGGAGACACTGTAGCCATGGCTAGCAACTGGACCCCAGCCCCAGGGATTACTCCTGATGTCTCAACTGATTATGAAATACCAGTAGGAGGGCTTGTTTCCCTTTCTAACTTGGTCATCAGAGATTAGGATTTGCATACATATGATATATAAGGACACACATCTTATGGGTCAATAGTAAACAGTGTCAGGTTACTTTTTGTCTCTTGGGGATGGGCAAGATAGGGTATGGGGGAAGTGGAAAGTCTTGAACCTTTCAAATATTCCCAGTGATTGTTCAGGACACCCCTAGTCACATCTTCTGGTGCCTTATCCTGTGCCTTGCCTCTCCTTTCTTCATAATCCTTCTAGTGCACTCCTTGCTCTCTCTAGCCACCTTTCATCTCCTGCCCCACCCTGATGGGTTTCAGCAGGTGTTTATTTTCTTTTCCTTCCCCCAGGCCATCTGTAACAGGCCCCAGATAGGAAGAGCCTTACTGTGAATGAGTGAATGAAGATTCAGTGAGTGTTGGTAGTGACACCATGTTTCTCTCTGGATTTAAGGAGAGAAGGAGTGCGGTGCAGAGGGGAAGGAGAGGGAAGCTATGAAATCCCATTATGGAGTAACAAATGCTTGACATTTTAGTGGGTATTAGACCTAGAAGCCTACATGATTGAAGGAAGCAAACCTGAGATTTCTGATATTTGTGAGTGAAGATAGGTGTTAACTCCTTATTGCCATTAAGAATGAAGGGAGGAGAGAAAAGTAAAGGTCATAAAATCCTTTACCTCAGTGGAGAAGGCACTGAGACTCACTTTATGAACCTGTTATTTTTAGAGGTAGGGTGAAGGTAAGTTGTTGTGCTGCACTTTCGTTACTCGTGAGAGTCACTGTCAGCCACTTTTCTTAGGTAGGTCTGCCCTTGTGGAGGTTTCTGTTGACCTGTATAAAAAAAACAACCCAGAAAAAAGTTTGCAACTTAGAAGAACTCTCCAGTTCAATAACAGGGTGTTAAAGGGGTTGAGGACAGAGGAAATAGCACAAGTAGTACCAAATAGCTCAGTTTTTTTGTTTTTCTTTTTAATAGGATGAATGGGCCAGAGATAGTGGGCAGAATGGCTTCATGCAACCCCAAACAGCAGATAGGACATAAGGAAACAGTACAATGAAAGGTCAATACTTGGACGTTTGTCATTCCCCAGAGAATGATGGAATATCTAAAATAAAATTAGGAGCTGCTTTGGAGAAGGGTTTTAAAAGATTATTTCATAGAAGAAAGATTTAGAAGAGGGGAAACTTCCAGTTATATAAGATGGGCATTATAGCTTTTAAAGACATCTGTTCCCTGTATAGGTCATAGAGATTGATACCAGTATCAGCCTGTGGCTGATCAGGCCAGTTTAACTAAGCAGTTTCATGTTGCTGGAGGGATGCTGCCACTCTCTGTCTCTCACTTTGGCAGGTATTCATTCATCTGCAATGAGTCCAGTACCTGAAGGAGCAAGACAACAACAAGCATCCAGGGGGACAACAGTGTGGCCTTCTGAGTGAAGATAGCAACTGAAAAGATCATGGGATTGGCTGCATTAGGCTGGGTTTGTTTCTTTTTTGAAAATAAAAAATGTTCTCTTTTTGATGACAAAAGTAACAAGTGGTCATTGTTAAAAAATAAAGTGAAAGGTATAAATTAAAAAGTAAATAATACCTATAATCTTATAACCCAGAAAATAATTCATAACATTTGCATGTATTTCCTTTTACTCTTTAAAATAAGTGTATATAACACAGTTTAAAAATAAAATTGACATTGTATATGTTATTCTCTAACTTTTCTCATTTGAGAATAAACAAGCATTCTCCTATATCATTAGCATTATTTAAAAATACAGTATTAAGTGTCACATAATATTTCATATGGTTCTAACAAAATTCATTTACAGTAAGTCCCCCTACATATGAACCTTCAAGTTGCAAACTTTCAAAGATGCGAACGTGTGTTCACATGTCCAGTCATGTAAGTTAGTTCACGTGTCTGGTGTACATTGTCACGTGCATGCATCTTCTACAAGTGGTTGTGCTTTTGTGTACTTTACTGTACCGTACTGTATAGAGCATAGTAGTACAGTATCTTTATTTCAGGCCCAGAATGTGAGTGAAACTGAAGCTTACCCAGCCGCCTAGCACAGGGAGATCAGCTCGGTGCTTTGTGACCACCTAGAGGGGTGGGATAGGGAGGATGGGAGGGAGACGCAAGAGGGAAGAGATATGGGGATATATGTATATGTATAGCTGATTCACTTTGTTATAAAGCAGAAACTAACAAACCATTGTAAAGCAATTATACTCCAATAAAGATGTTAAATAAAAAAAGTATTTTTAAATTAAGGTTAAAAAAAAAATTGAAGCTTACCTATTGCTGATGATCCTTCAGCTCTACCGTCTCCCACCTCTTCTCCCTCCAGTCAGTAACTCTTCTTGCCTGTTCACTTGATGCCAGCCCCTGTATGCCAGCTGTTATACTGTACTAGTGTACTTTTCAAGGTACTGTACTTTAAGATTAAAAATGTTTTCTTTATTTTTCGTGTTTGTTTTTTATGTATTATTTGTGTAAAAAGTATTATAAACCTATTATAGTACAGTACTATATAGCCTATTGTGTTAGTTGGGTACCTAGGCTAACTTTGTTGGACTTACGAACAAATTGGACTTATGAACACGCTCTTGGAATGGAACTTGTTTGTATATAGGGGACTTACTGTGGATGATCCCATGATGCAGACATTTTGGATATTATCAATTTTGCCTATAAAATTAAAATGTAATGAACATAATTGCACATTAACCTTTATGTGCATCTCTATTTCTTTAGAATAAATTTCTAGAATTGGAATTACTGAGTTTGATGAGAGCATTATTAAGGCACCTGAAAGGTGTTGTTGAATTGTCCTCAATATTGTACAAATAACATTCCCATCAGTGGTGCCTAAATGTGCATCAGAATATGCCCTTTCCTTTTATAAATCTCTCATCATTTGACAGGCAAAAATATCCATTTGTTTGAGATTTTTATTTCTAATTTGCATACACTAAAATTCATTCCTATCATGTATAGTTCTATAGTTTTGACAAGTATAGAGTCATGTATCCTTCCACTCCAGTACCATACACAATTGTTTTAGCATTGATAATTTCTCTTGATTGCTCTTTTTGTTGTAAACCCTTTCCCTCAATCCCTGGAAACCACCTATTTGTTCTCCATCCCTATGGTTTTGCCCTTTCCAGAAGGTTATATGAATGGAGTCGTGCAATATGTAGACCTTTTGATCTGGCTTCTTTCACTTAGTAAAATGCATTTAAGTGTCATCTATATTGTTATGTAAATCAATATTCATTATTTTTATTGTTGTACTTCACTATATGGATGTACCAGCTTTTAATCCATTCACTAATTGATGGACATGAGAGATATTTCCAGTTTAGGCCATTATGAATAAAGTTGCTATAAATTCTCAGGTACCAGTTTTGTGTAAATATAAATGTTCACTTCTATAGGGTAAATGCCTAGGAGTGAGAGTGAGTTAAACTTTTCCAAAGTTTCTGTATCACTTTACATTCCTACCACAAATATGAGTTCCAATTGCTCCACTTCTTCCACATCTTAACCAGCACTTGGCATTATCATGTTTTAAAAAATTTTACCCATTGTGTGTGTGGTGATCTCTAATTGTGGTTTTAATTTGCAGTGCCCTAATGGCATATGAGTTTGAACATCTTTTCATATGCTTATTTGCCATTTGAATATCTTCTTTGGTGCAGTCTCTGTTCAAATCTTTTGCCCCCCCCCCCTTCTTATTAGGTTGTTCTTTTTCTTACTGTTGAGTGTTTAGACTTCCTTATATATTCTTGATACAAGTCCTTTGTCAGATAGATTATTTGGAATTGGATTCTCCAAGTCTGTGGCTTGTCTTTCTATTAGCAGTGCCTTCTTCAGAGTAAGTGTTTAATTTGACAAAGTCCACTTTGTCAAATACATGACAATGTAATTTGGGGTGGGTATAAATGAAATTAAAATGTTCAAAGCCACTTAAATTATCCAGGTAGTGTTTAATACTACAAATATTTATTGTTGAAGTGAGACTCTAAGGATAAATCTAAAAGATCTGTCCTAGTCCTTAAAACTGTGTAATCTCCTCGCCTTCAATGTGGGCAGGATCTGTTTCTTGCTTCTAACCAACAGGATATGGTGATCATCATTTTCATAAAAATGTTACATAATATTACATTTCCACGTGAAAATAGCCTCAAAATATACAGAGCATTAATTAATAGAAGTCCACAGAGAAACTGAAAAATCCACCAAGCAACTGAGAGAATTAAACAGCTCTTTTTCAATTGTTGAGAAATCCCATATACAAATCAACAGCATACAGAAAATTTAAACAACACAAATCACAAGCCTTACCAAATGGGAGTGGAAATACAAACACTTCTGCCTTGAAGGGTTACAGAAAACATAATTCATTTGAAGCACACTTGGAACAGTTACAAGAATTGATTCTGGGAGAGAGAGCAAGATGGCAGAGTAGCATGACGTGAAGCTCACCCTCTCCCACAAATACAGCAAAAATACATCTACATGTGGAGTGATTCTCACAATATCTACTAAATGCTGGCAGAAGACTTCAGACTTCTGAAAAGGCAAGTAAATCTCAACGTAACTGGGTAGGAAAAAAGAAAAAAAAAGCGAGCAAGGAATCAGGATGAGACCTGTGCCCCTGGGAGGGAGCTGTAAAATGGGAAAGGTTCCTGCACCCTGGGAAGCCCGCTTACCGGCAGGGAGATTGGCCAAGACAGAAGGGGAGCTTCAGAGCCTCAGAGGAGAATGCAGCAACCAGTTTGCTGCAGCCAGAGCAGAGGGAGAACTGCACAGGTGGTCAGTGCTGCTGCCCAGCACTCCAGAGCCTGACATGCACGTCTGCCAGTGCTGGTGGGGGCTGGTTGCTGGAACTCGGGCTTCAGAGATCAGAACCAGGAGAGGACTGGGGTTGGCTGTGTGTAGACAGACTGGGGTGGGGTCGGGGCGCTGGAATCCAGTGTGACTGTGGCTGGGTGTGTAAGCAGAGGAAGCCTGGGCCACTTTAGAGGCCAGTCGCCATTGTTTGCGGGGTGCATGTGGGGAGGGGTGGGACCAGATTGTAGACTTCTTCCTCTGTGTACACTCTCAGAGGGCAGGACACTGCCTGAATGGGCTCCAGAGGCAGTGGCAAGCCTCCACTGCTGCCTCCCCAGACGCTAGGAGCAGTTGTGGGACCCCACCACCTCCCACTCAGACACCAGGAGTGGTTGTGGGCCCCTGCTGACTCCCTCCCAGACCTGGGAGTGGTCATGAAACCACCCAAATTCCAGTCGTTATTACAAGCTGCCTCCACTCCCATCACATGTCCCAAGTGCACGCCTGAGCTGCCTGCCTGAACTGAGAACCCCAAGACTGGGCATGAGCCACTGCATCTGCACACCCCCTATCAAGGGGGAAACAACCAGCACACTCTGGGGAAAGAGGTGACAGGCATCCATACTAAAAACAGCCCTCACACCAAAAATATTAAACCCACACAAGCTACACAGGGACAACCTCACACATAAATAGCCGTCCAAGACCACAGTAGGTAACTTTCTCCTAAACTCACAGAGTAAGAGAAATATAAGTAAAATTAAGGAACAGAGGAACAACTCCCAGTTAAAATATCAAGAGCATTCCCCTGGAAGAATTAACAATGAAACAGGTCTCTGACACTGAGTTCGTAGGTAACTTTCTCCTAAACTCACAGAATAAGAGAAATATAAGTAAAATTAAGGAACAGAGGAACAACTCCCAGTTAAAATATCAAGAACATTCCCCTGGAAGAATTAACAATGAAACAGGTCTCTGACACTGAGTTCAAAAAGGAGATAATGATAATGAAAGAATTAAGAAAGGCTATCAAAAGAAATGCAGAGCACTGTAAAAAGGAACTAGAAACTATAAAGAGGAACCAAGAAAAATTAGAAAACTCATTTACAGAGATGAAAGCTGAGCTAAAGGCAATGAATAGCAGAATGAATAATGCAGAAGAATGAATAAGTGACCTGGAAGACAGAATAATGGAAATCACCCAATCAGGACAGCAGACAGAAAGCCAAATAAAAAAAAAAGAAAAAGAAAATAGTATGAGACAGATGGGATAATATAAAGTGTGCCAACCCACACATAATAGGGATTCCAGGAAAAGAAACAGAAAAGGAGACCAAAAATATACTTGAAGAAATTATGTCTGAAAACTTCCCAAACCTAAAGAAGGAAACAGATATCCAGGTACAGGAAGCACAGAGGGTCCCAAGCAGGATAAACACAAACAGACCTACACCAAGACATATTATAATAAAAATGGCAAAAGTTAAAGATAAAGAGGGAATTCTAAAGGCAGCAAGAGAAAAACAAAGAGTGAATTACAAGGGAACCCCCATTAGGCTATCAACTGATTTCTCTACAGAAACGTTGCAGGCCAGAAGGGGGTGGCAAGATATATTCGAAGTCCTGAAAGGGAAAAATCTGCAAACTAGGATACTCTACCCAGGAAGATTATCATTTAGAATAGAAGGAGAGATAAAGAATCTCTCATAGCAATACTAAACCTATCCTAAAGGAAATATTGAAAGGTCTTCTCTAAATAGAAAAGAAGTAAGAATCCAGAGGGAAGACAAAATCACAATTGGAAAATAAATCACTTAAATAAGCCAGCACACAGATTAAAAACAAAAAAATTTCTGTGAAAGTGATGATAACCACAATGAACAGCACAAGAATGAACATGAAGATGTAAAA